AAAGAAATTATTTTCCTTCCCAAAAGAAATTGTTCCACAATTCTAAACATAGAAGATCCTGCCTTTTATAACTTTAAAGTAAGGTACTGAATTATACACCATGACAAAAGTTAACAAGTAAAAACCAAAGAATTGGATATTTTTAAGACATACATAATTCTGGTATTGCCTTGTTAAGAATGATTTTTTTCATTTCTGAAGATACAGGCCTTCATTGTGGAAATAATTGCAAAGGAAATATTAGCCATTACTCCCAAGTTGCTCTTTAATATTTGGCACTTTGCTTAAGAGTGACATAAAAACATTAATGTCATTGTTTGGTATATTGAAGGCTGGTTATTCCTATCATAAGTTTTAGTGTTTGAAAGTTTACAGCTGTACGTAGGGGGGTAGAATGAGGAACAACTTTTAATTCAGTTTGGCAGGATTTGCCAGGTTTCAGAGTAAGGAAATGAAACAATCTTGATAATAACATTAGAAGGTTTCAAAGTTCTTCCCTTCTATGTCTCTCTCCCCAGTGCATCCTTAAAACACATTAATTTGCTTTTTGGGAAATAATATATTCATACACACATACAAATATAGATGAATTTTCTGCTTTTCCTTAGTGTGTAAGATAGAGATCAGAATATTAATACCCAGTGACAGTTGTATTTATCTGGCTCAACCTTATACACACTTCTTTTTCTTTTTTGTAGGACTGGGGTTTGATCTTACGTCTTTGCATTTGTTAGACAGATGCTGTAGCACTTGAGCCATACTGCTAGGCCCCTCTTCTCCTTTTTAGGTGGTACTGGGATTTGGACTAGGGCCGCATATTTGCTAGGCAGATACTCTGTAACTGGAGCCATAACCCCCAGCCCTTTCTACTTTAATTAATTTTCAGATAGGTTGTTGTGTTTTTGCCTGGGTTGGTCTGGACCATGATCCTATTTGTGCTTCATGCATAGCTGGGATGGCAAGGGTATGCCACCATGCCCATCTTACTGGTTGAGTTGGGATTTTGCTTACTGTTTTTCTCGCCTGGCTTCAAACTGCCATCTTCTTAATCTCTGCCTCCCAAGTAGCTGAAATTACAGATGTGAGCCATTCTACCAGTCTTCAACCTCGTACAAATTTCTAAGCGTTGGTAGTCAATTAGAAGTGCTAGGTTTATGCAGAAATGTTCTGAAAACAGAGGCTTTTAAAGTGAGCTTTCTTTTAAGTAGTTTTATTTATTTATTTTATTTTTTGGCAGTAGTAGGGTTAGAACTCAAGGCCTTTTACTTACCAGGCAGGTACTCTACCACTTGAGCCATGCCCAGTCCATTAACAGTTTTTTGGCTTGATCAGTTTTAATAGTAGTTATGTAGGAAAATGAAGAGAGGATTTTTTTTTTTTGATAGAAGCAGATTTACTGTTTTAAGGGGTTTGTCCTAATGCAGTTCTGATCTGGAGAACATAATATTTTAGAGTAAAAAACACCACAACCATGTGCAAAATAATGATGTTCATTCCTTCTCCCAATAGAAGGCCTACTGAAACCAAAAGGCCCACACAGAGCTAAGAAGTAACAAGTCATATTCTAGGCATTTAGCAGCCTTTGCCATGCCATCCACTCATTCTTATCCAGATTTTCCAAAACAAAACAAAAACCCTAGCTCATCAAAATAGACTTTTCCATTTGTTTTTAATACTAATTTGTAAACTGTAAGGATTTTGCAATTGCATGTCTTGTTTTCATGACATATAAAGGTTCAAGGTGGTTATTTGTATCACACATGATTAGGCACTATTGATATGCAAGGTTCAGTTTTCTTCCAAACTTGTCTATGTCCAACAAACCATTCTAGTTTTCCTTATTAATAAAATCCCAAAGTCTCAGTCCTTTTCTTGCTGCATGTTGGATAGATATACACAGAACCAGCCATTCTGGGTTGCCAAAGACTTTATTGCTCATCTTTGTCAGCATTCCTCCTCTTTCCTCACAATGTTGAACCCCTCCAGCCTTTGTTAATAAAAGTGCAAAGAATTTGATAATGTGTCCTTTATGGAATCTTTACATGAGTAAATGCTTGGAGGAAGAGAATAATGAATGCCTACAAAAATAAGGCAATATCAGGCCATCAAAGTGTCTACATATGTATATTACAGAGAAGGAAAATGATTTGCAGTGTGTCCTTACTTTCACTGTGTCCTGTTCTTTCCATTTCTAGTTTTTCTGGTAGAAAAACCTGATTCTCATTAGGAGCTTTTGTTTCTTTCTTTTGGTTCTACCAATATTGTATGTCTTAGCTAATCACACAGGAGCCAAGCTGAAAATGTCCCAAATAGGAATGATGAGAGTTGTTTCATGGCAATACAGCACACAAAGTGCCTAGCACAGTGTTCCTCCTACTGTGAACTAGTAAAACTGTAATTCCTCTCCTTATGGGTTCTGTTATGGTTTGAATATGAAATTCCCTCATAGGTTGGCTCATTTGTTGAACACTTGGTCCCCAGCTGGTGGTTCTATTTTGGGTGGTAGTAGAAACTTTAGGAGGTGGAGACTAGCTGAAAGTAAGTCACTAAGGATATGTCTTTGAAGATTATACCTGATCCTTGGTTCCTTCTTCTATCTCTTCTTCCTGCTTGCCATGTAGTGATTAGTCTCTCCTTCTGCTGCCATGATGCTCTACCTAACCTCCAGCTCAGAATCAACAGAGCCAAGGAGTGTAGACTAAAACATCTGAAGCCTTGAGCCAAAATAAATCTTTCCTCCTTAAGTTGTTTTGTTAGACATTTTGTCACAGTGACAAAAAGTCTGACTAACTTAGAAAATTGGTACCAGAGAAGAAGTGGGGTCATTGCTATGACTACCTGACCATGTGTTTAAGAAGCCTTTGGGACTGGTTTGTGGGAGGAATTCAAAAATTTGGGAAATACGGACTAGTGAAGCCCTGGATGCTGTCAGCAAAGCTTAATGTATGATTAAGCTTAATGTATGATTAAGGGTGTCAGGAAACAGAATGCTAGTGGGAATGCGGATAGTAACAATTTTGCCTATGAGGTTTCTGGTGGGAACAAAAAATCTGTTGGAAATTGAACTAGAGGTCATTCTTGGTACAATGTTGTGGCAAAAAACTTACCTACGTTTTGTCTGTGTCTTGCTGTGTCCTGCGACTTTGCTGAAGACTGTTTAAAGATGACAGATTAATCTGTAGGAGGAAATTTCAAAGCAACTCACAATTCACTCTGTGACTTGGATATTTCTGGCTGCTTTTAGCCAGCTTTACAGTGAGAATTGGGAGCAATAAAACAGCGTAGAAAGACTTGAAAATTTTGCAGTTTGGTCAGAAAAGTCCATGTAAGGTTTCTGAAGAGATTAGCACCACGAAAAAGAAGCCAAGCAAGTGCATCAAACAGTGTTTGCCTGGCAGGTGCAAGGCCCTGAATTCAAGCTTCAGACTGCCAATATATACATAGAGAGAGAGGAGAAAGGGGAGGGGAAGTTGGGGGAGGGAGGCAGGGAGAAAAAAAGAGAGATTGAGATTTGGACTGAAAGTGTGGTTTAGGAACTGGCTGGACCCCACCTATCCAGGATTAAGGGTGTGAAAGAAGAAACTCATTTGAAAAATTTTTCCCTTGAGAGGAAAGATCTCCTGGGCACCCTGCCAGCACAGGGCTATCTAGGAATTTGTTTCCCGGGATTTGGTTCATGGTGCCTCATCACTCAGGCACTCAGAGGGCAATATGGCTGTGGTTATAGTGGTACCAGGCTACTGTATGAGAGCTAGTGCTGGACTTTGGTGTCCTTTATGTGATATTGGCTTTAAAGACTTGGCAGAATTAAAGAGTTGCAGGGTTTTGAAGGTTTCCACCCAGATTTTAAAGGAAGGTCTGGGAGGCCAGTCAGTGTGTGACAGGGTCTGAGCCACTACAGACAGCCCCTGAGAGGTGCTGCATGAAGCTGTGAGAGTGATGTAGCACCTTTCCCCTTTTTATTTCTCCTTTTTAAACATTATGGTACTCTTGAAATCAGAGTTCTTGGTGATAATTAAGTCTTTATAGCTTTCCTTTTTCTTATTGAGAAAAATTCCAGATTCATGTGTTTTAAAAACTTGAGATCATTTAAAATCCAACCAGAACCCATAGAAATCATATAACCCTAGTTTACAAATTTCATTTTGTCAGTCAATTTTACTGTATGGCAGTGTCTACCTGGAGTATGCTGCTTATAGAAAAGCAAAGTGAGAGGTCTGTCAGTGTACTTTGGCTTATTGTTGCTGTTGGGTAAGGTTTGATCTTAGACTCAGAGAAATCAAAAAACTTACCTGGAGTCTCTTAACTAGTTTAAACTGAATTTCTTCTTCTTTTTATTTATTCCTTTGTTGGTGGTCCTCGGGTTTGAACTCAGGGCCTCACACTTGCTAAGCAGGTACTCTACCACTTGAGCCACTCTACCAGCTCATAAAGAGCTGTTCAAGTACGTGATTACTACTTATTGTCACCCCTGTGTGTGCTCATTTCTGGGGTTTTTTTGTGTGTATGTGTGTTGTTTTTTTGTTTTTTAGTGGTACTGGAGTTTGAACTAGGGCCTCACATTTGCTAGGCAATCACTCAAGCTAAATCTTCAGTTCTGTTTAGTACAACACAAATATAAAGGTGTTTAGCAAAATATTTTCTTCCTCTACAATAAGTCTATATTTAGAATTATTTTATTTGCAAGTAGCTATGTATTTTCTTACCATATGTATTTAAAACCCAAAAGTAATAAGTTCTAGAGATAAGAGAATTTGTTTCAGTGATAGGGTACAAGAAGACTTGTAGAATGCTGTTTTCCTAGCACACTATTAATGAAGGGAATCAGACAAGATGGATAGAGAATGAATGAATGTAGAGTAAGTGCTGAGGAGGAAGGATTAAAAGGAAGACTTTAGGCCAGGAAAATATTTTTTGAATATTAGATTTTACTTAATGTCTAACATTGATCTCATAATAATAAAGATGTGATGATGAAATTTCTTTTATTTACTTCTTAGGTACTTCACACGACTGGAGGTTGCGGTGTGGTGCTGTGGACTTATATTTCACACTTTTTGGCCTCAGTAGACCATCCTGCTTACCCTTGCCAGAGCTTGGGTTGGTTCTTAATCTAAAGGAGAAAAAAGCTGTCTTGAATCCTACCATAATTCCAGAAACTGTAGCAGGCAACCAAGAAGCTGCAAGTAATCCAAGCAGTCATACACAGCTAGTTGGATTTCATAACCCTGTAAGAATCACATGTACTATGGAAAATGTAGTTTTATTAAAGAGCCATCTAGAAAAGATAATTTCTTGTTGTGAACCAGTTAATTTTTTTATCCACTAAGTTCATTGTGCCATTTGAAAACATGGCATTGGCTGACATTTGTTTAGTGCTTTACAGTTCATAAAAAGATACTATCAGCCACACACCTGAACATGACAAATGACGTGCTAACAGTCAGTCTCCTTACTCTTTTTGTAACAACACACTGTTTTTCTATGTTGAGTGTAGAATTTCTTTTCTGAAGAGCAGAATATAAAAATGAATAGTTACCCCATTATATATTAACCTGTGTTGTCCTTATGTGTTAATGGCAAGCTGTTTGAACACAGGAGACCTGTCTTTTTTTTTTTTTTTTTTAATTATGACTATGTAATACCTAGCACAATTGTGAACAGATGGTAAGTGCCCAGCAAATCTTATTGAATGTAAATAAATAATCTGCTCATTTAGGAGGAGACAATGCATTACATTTTAAAATTTTAGTATATTTGTATATGTTTGCTTTCAGAGAAGCTTTTATTCCTAGCTCTGCATTGTGAAATTGCCAGACTTTTTATGAAAAGATTTGTAGGATACATATTAATCATTTTACTGCAAAAACATTTTCCAGAAACAACATTTTCTGACTTATGGCAAAATGTCTCCAATATTTCAAGCTTCATTTTTCACCAATATTTAGACCAGATTACTTGACTGGAAATTCCCTACTGGTGTTTCAGTACTTTAAAACTCATATTCTTTCAATGTAATAAATCATTTTAAAATTTACTTATATAATTAAAATCTCTGAAATATAATCATACTTTCTTGTAAATTTAGACTGTGTCCTACACTTTGGGTTATAAAGAAGACAAACCCTTACATAGAGAAAAAGAGTCTCCTTAAAGAATTCTTTCAGATATAAATATTTATGAACCTGTGAAAATAAATATGTTTATAATTCTTGCCCATATATGTTAGTTTATTCATATTCATACTTTAGGATATGAGGAGAAAATAACACCAAAAAGATACATTCTTAACTTTAAAGAGAAAAAGAGTCTCCTTAAAGAATTCTTTCAGCATATAAATATTATAACCTGTACAAATAAATTGTTTTATAATTTCTTGCCCATATATGTTAGTTTATTCATATTCATACTTTAGGATATGAGGAGAAAATAACACCAAAAAGATACATTCTTAACTTTAAAAGGTCACTTAAGTACTTCCTTCTTCCCCAGAAAAGAAAAACAGGCAGAAAAAGTTAAAAATTTAAGCCCATTGCTGATAACTTTTAGCACCGGGCATGCTCTAATCTGCATGATTGTTACAGCTATTAGTTTTTGGCTATAATATGAGCTACTTGTATTTAGAAATCTAATTTTGATCTTAAATATTGCCGCAGGAAGATGATCACCTTGCCAAGGAAGCATCATGTAATATATCAGCACATCAGCAGGGAGTGAAGAGGAAGGCTGACACACCACTGGGGGCCCCACTAGAACCTGGTCAAATACTGGAGAAGAATGAGGATAGCAGTAAAGTCAAACTCAAAATCAGAGTAAGAAATACAGGTTAAACCTGTATTAACAGTGTAGGATATTCACCTTCTTAAAAACCTTGTTGAATATTTGCAGTAGTTTTTTCTTAGCAGGAACATATGGGACAGACTAAATCATAAAAGAACTCAAATGTCCCTCTAAGACATTCTCACCAGTTGTTTAATTTCTGTTATCACACATTTCTTCTCTGTTTGCAGGAGGAACTGTGTGCACATTCCACCATAGCTCACTACTTCTTCCCACAATATAGGAATAGATTTTAGTTGCTGCTGCATTTCCAGTAAATTCTAATCAGCTTCTTTTGGAGGCTGGACCACATCATCTTTCTCTCAGTACCTTTTGAGGAAAAGAGACTACTTTTCCTTTTACTTTTATATGGAGGAGTACTGTGGCTTCTCTGCCACTTTCCTAAAAGCTAAGATCCAAATGGAAAGTGATGTAATGTTGCCTTTATTCTTTTGTTTGTGTGTGTGTGTTGTAGTTTTCAAATTCTCAAGATGAAGAGGAGATTGATATGGACACTGTTCATGATAGCCAGGCCTTCATTTCCCATCATCTGAACATGCTTGAAAGGCCATCAACTCCAGGTAAGGTCAACGTACTGCAGTCTCTTTGGAGGTGGAAAATTGCCTACATGTTACCTCCATTCTAACCAAGGAGCCAGCAAGCCTGCCTTCCTCCCTCTCTCCTTCTCTCCCCCCCTCCCTCCTTTCTTCTGTTTGAGCCATTCCTCATTTTGCTCTGGTTATTTTAGAGATGGGGGGTCTCATGAACTATTTGCCCCAACTAACCTCAATCCTCCCAATCTTAGCTTCCCAAGTAGCTGCAATTACAGGTGTGATCCACCAGTGCCTGGCAACTGTTGCCTTATTTTCAAATGAATAAATTCAAAGTTTAAAGTAGCCAGTATAAATATTATATTGTGTGAGGTTATAACATATATTGGCAAAATAATTAATTTTAAAAGTATTTCTTTTTATTTGCTATTTTATTTTGATCTTTAAAAAATATTTGGCATACTTTTGAATTAGCTTTCATAAAATCCATTCATCAGATTGCTGAAGAATGAACAAGATGAAATTAAACAAGATTTAATTTCTTGTTTATGCACATAAGTGGTAGGCTTAGCTTCAAAATAAAACATTATGCCTAGGTTATTCTTAATAAAGTAACTATTACTGCATATAAACTTTTTAAACTAAAGTTACTGTTGCCTATAACACTGCTTTGGCTTTTTGTCTGACTATTCTATGTAATATTATATCATAGACTTCTTTTTTTGATAGTACTGGGATTTGAACTCAGGGCCTCCTACTTCCTGTGCAGGTGCTGGACCACTTGAGCCATGCTCCTAGCCCTTTATGCTTTGGGCAATTTTTTAATTTTTCAGTTGGGTCTTGCTTTTTGTTACCCTTGCTATCCTGGACCACAGTCCTTCTACTTAAGTTTCCTTCATACCTATAACGACAGGGTAGACACCTCACCCAGCTTTTTCCTTGAGATGGGATCTTGCTAACTTTTTGCCTGGGCTGGTGTTGAACCATAATCCCTCTGATCTCTGCCTCCCAAGTAGCTAGGATTAGAGGCCTTAGACACCATGCCTAGCCATATCACAGATTTTCACATGCATTTCTCACAACACCATGTTTTCTTTTGGGAATACTACCTAAGATACTATTGAGTTGATATAATAGGGTTATTATATCTCATTATGTCCCTGTTGCTACACATTTAGGTTGTTTATAATTTTTATTTCTTATAGGTTATTCTATTACCAGAAAACCAGTCCCCTGGCCTCAATGCCAATCTACCATTTACAAATAATGAGAGCAGGTTTTTGAAGAGAAGGAATTAAGGTTTATTATTAGTCAGAAGAGAAGGAGGAAAATAGGGAAAATCAACTTCTCAGCGTGGCTCAAGCTTACTTTTTAATGTTTTTTTTTTTCTATTACGAGTTTTTGTCTATTTGCCTAATCATATCCCGTGGTGGTTGACTTTTGTTATCTTTACAATTTGAGTGAAGTTTTTAATGTATTTTCTTTTGTGGTACTGGGACTTGAACTCAGGGCCTCCACCTTGAGCCACTCCACCAGCCCTTTTTTATGAAAGGTTTTTGTGAGATAAGGTCTCACTAACTATTTACCCGGGCTGGCTTCGAACCAAGATCTTCCTGATTGCTGCCTCCTGAGTAGCTAGGATTACAGGCATGAGCCACTGGTACCCAGCTTAATGTATTTTCTTAATAAGTTACATTTATGCTAAAGTCCCCATTACCTCTGTTTGCTTTTTGTTTATTTGACTTTCTGTTTTAATTTTATTTAGGGACCTAGGTTATATTTTACTATGTAGTAATCTAAGATGAGCTAATAGAATTTCGCTTCAGATAGAATATGAGCCTAAGAAATATTTGAAAACTGATAGGTCATGAATTTGGCATTTATTAAGAACTTAACAATTATCTACTCTTCTCAGTTGAGCAGAGATGTTAAATGATTTACCCTGGATGATACACCAAAGGAATGTCCAACTAAGGGCCACACCCAAATTTTAAGACTATTCCATGTTACAAGTGATGGAATTGTTACACAAGAAGATAAAGTTGAACAGGATGCAGTTATAATTTGTTGATAAGCTTGGCGTCAGATCTGATCTCTGAATTCCTAGTATAATCTTGTTCATGGTATACAAGTAACCTACTTGTTACATTAATTGTTTTCTACAGTTCCTAAATTATTTTGATCTATTTTTCAGTAAGCTTACAATGGAGCTTATTATCAAATTTTGGGGGGAGGCAGGCAAACTTTATGCAGAGTTCCTCATAAATAATAAAATATGAAATGGTTCTTGTGTAAAATATAGGGTCTAATATATACATTCAAACTTACTGCCCCTCAAAGGTGCATTGTCCTCAGATTGAAGCTTATAGGACCTATGACAATGGATTGAATTACATGAGATCTTTAGTAGTTTTCAATAATATTCTTTTTATTATCAGAATTTTATTGTGGTTGGACCGCTTCTGGTTTTAAGGCTAACTTGCAAAATCCTGTCAAGCCTTTCTCTCAGGAAACAAAGAAATCTATCTTTTTCCTCTCATTTGGCATTGTAGGCCTCTCTAAATATCGACCAGTTAGCTCCCGATCTGCTTTAATACCCCAGCATTCATCAGGATGTGACGTCACTCCCACCACAAAACCCCAGTGGAGTATGGAACTTACCCGTAAGGGAACAGGTAAAATTATTTTTTTCCACTCACGGACAAACCTATAAACTTCATAGAATTACTTTACCAATTAAAAAATACTTTTAAAAGATCTTAGAACTTGTTTTTCTTTCAATATGTTTGCTTTACATTCTCTAATGTTAAAATGTTTGTTTGTTTGACAGTACTAAGGTTTCAACTGAGGGACTTGGGCTTGCTAGGCAAGTGGTCTACCATTTGAACCTTGCTTCCAGCCCTTTTTCTTCAGTTACTTTTCAGATACATCTCCCACTCCTCCCCCAACCTCCGTCTTTCCACCCCTGGTTCGACTGGGACAGCATCCTTCCAAGTAGCTGGGATTACAGATCTACCCACAATGCCCTGGTTTAGGGCCTCACTAACATTTTTATTGACACTGTCCTGGAACTGAAATCTTCCTATCTCTACCTCCCAATTAGCTGGGGCCTACAGGTATGAGCCACCACACTCAACCCAAAGCTGTTTTAAAATAGAGTTTTTTCCTATTTCAGAAGTACTGTGCTCTCTGTTACAGAAAACTTGGAAATAACAGAAAAATAAATGAGAAGAAGTCACCCCTCATTATGCCTTTTATATGAACATTTTACTGTTTTTCCTTTCAGTGCTTTTTCTAAATATTATGAAAAATAGAAACTGAAATCTGTATCATTATACCTTTGTAAAATACAGAAATTACCACTGATCCCCCACCTATGATTAGTGATTCATTCATGAACACTTGATGCTATGCCTAGAAAACTTTGACATGTTCTGTCTTTTATATTATTCCATATTAATTACACTTAAGTTTTTGAAAGGCAATTCAGTTCACATGTGTTTCTTACTTCAACTACTTGATGGTTTCCTGCTTATTCTGTTCATCTGTTGCTGTTTCTTTCAAAGAGAAGATTATAATCCATGCAAAGAGTAAACATGGGATGCTGATAAACTTCCATGAAACAAAGATTAAGTCTTCAAGTATTGAAAGGATAGGGAGTGAAAAACAAGATACACAAGCAAAATCATTTTTAAAGAATAGTTTTTCCAAATGTCGTTAGACTTAAAAAATCTGTGAATTTCTGGTTATGACTCCAGTAATTGATGGATTTTGTTTATATAAGCCATGATTGGTCTGATATAAACACGAGTACTGTTACTGATTTGAGAAGCTTAGGGATCAACTGTGATGAATAGGAGTCATTAAACAAAAGCAACACCTCAAAATACTTATTTTGAGACCATAGACTGTTGTTTGCTTATAGTTCTTTGTATGCTATCTGCATTTACTGTAATGGACATATGTTTCAAATGAAAATCAGCTGAAAACTTATTTACTTTGACAATTTTTTTTTTTTTTGTGGTTCTGGGACTCGAGCCCCAGGCCTCATGCATGCTATCAAGGACTTGACCACTAGGCTACTCCCCCAGTTCTTGTTTTCTCTTGGGTCTAATTTCACTTTTATGATAATTTTGCTTTATTAGTAGTACACCTGTTAAATTTTTACCAGGCATGAAAAATTTTCTGTATTTGTAGAAGTTATGAAGCTTACAGAATTTCACAGTTTTTTAATAGTTTGAGAATGATGCATCCTTGGCTTTAAAAAGTAAATTCTGTCTAAATTTCCAAGAATTAAATCAAGTCCTATTCCAAAAAGACTTTGAATGCATTTGTGTGAATTTTCTTAGTCATGTGGCATGTTAACCTATGTAGAAGCAAATCTTTAACATGTTTTTGTGCCCGCCAGTGTGCTTTTGTATCACTGTTCCATATTGCTTTTAAAAATCCATTTTCAGTTTGTTACTGTGTTTCATTTTGTAATCTCCCTACACGATGTTGTAGTTCTCATCACATCATATTGGAGACAGGAGACAAAGATACAGGGCTGATGGTGGGGAATAGGAAAGCATTGCAATTTTAGCCTTCCCTGCTCTCCACCTAGGACCCTTTTTTATCCTGAGGCAAAATACCAGTTGCAGGGATTGATCTGTTAAACTTTAATTTTTCATGTATTCTTTAATAAACCTTTATAATTTCCTTGAAATGTGTTAATGCAAATCAGTAGCATTGAGCACATCTTAAAATTCAATAGTAATATTATTTATAATTTAGAAAGCCTTCATCTTACAAAGAGTAGAATTCCAAAGGTTTAGATAAGTAACTTTCCCAAACTAGCCCAATAAAAGCCTGTTTAACGTATGCTACACATGAAGAATAGAAGTATCAAATCTAGCTGGTATATGTAGCAGTGTTTTTGTGAGAGTAAGCACTTAGGACGCTATCTTTTGGGAGATCAGAAATGGAACTATACCCTAGCCCAGTAAAGTCAAGTAGAGTTGGCAGTGCATAAAGGCATTTCCTCTCTTCCTTTCTGCCAGTAGGAGCTGGGGGTCTCCTCCTTTGGTAGCCACTTTAGTCTGAGGTTGAGTTGGGAATTCATAAGAGAGAGGTAGCACAGTGGTAAGGCAAGCTCTAACCTCCCTGCAGTTTATGAGTTCTAGATTAAAGAGCACATATGGAGTATGGGGAGCCATATTCAGCTCATCCAGCTGAGGCATCTTTTATTCAGTCTGGGTAAGTCTTATAAAAAGTTTTAAACTAGTTGAATAAAAAGAGAGTGCACATAAAAATCTAGACTCCCACCCTTTTTTGAAAAGATGTAACTGAGACACTCTCTCAGGCAAAGCATGTGCTTTCCAAGTCATTGATCTCTTTTACTGCACCCAGTAGTGTGCCTACTCATTAAGCTGTTTCCTCAGGTTCAAGGCTGTTTAGTTGGGGTCCCCTGCTTCCTTAGATTTAGAGCCAGAGAACTGAATTGATTAAGAGCTGAAATGTGTTACGGGCCTCATCTAGGAGGGATAAAAAAGGGATATCTTGGCTTAGCCAAGATAAAGAATGGATACACTATTAAGTAGAGGATAATAGTGGTTTACTTTTTATCCCTCCCCCCCCCAAAAAAAATTCCCTTTTCTTGCTCATGATAGTAAGAAGAATGTTTTAGGGTGAGATCATATGGGGGTGAGAGCTTAAGCCATTGGGGTAAGTTATCCTTCATTACTCTTCCCTTCCCCTTTCCTGAGGTAAGGAAGACAATATGCAGAAAGGGCTGTATGGTTCCCTTAGTGATGGGGTTGAACAAACTGTGGTGGCAGTGACAGGACTGTCTCCCAGGTTGCTGCTGGGATTTCAGTGATGAAGAGCAGAGAAGGGGTAAGGGGAACAGGGAGCAGAGGGAATTCCCTTGTGGTTTCTGTGGGGAAGAAGAGGAGGAGAGCTTCTGCAGTTGCCTAGTTCTGGCTGCTGTATTGTGTAAACCCTTCTTGCATAACTCAGAAGAACACAATTCTAACACTCGAATTTTTAAAATTAAAACAATTTTTTAAAGGTTAGAAGCTTTCCCTAGAGGTCTTTGCTTTGAAATCTAATATGAAAGAAGCCTTGAATTTTTATCCTTTAATTATACTGAAATAACTCAACATTTTTCTTTTTTACAATAATCAGAAGAATCCAAAGAACAGACTTTATACTTTTTCTAATAGTTAAAATTCCTAATGTTAAATTTAAACATAGACCTAATGTGAATGTGAATAGTCTTTGCAGATTATTTACTGTTTCCTACCAGCACTTTTATCGGATGGTCTGAAAAGCTTCCACATTAGGCTTATATTAAGTACCTCTTTCTGCTTGTTATACATTTGTTAAATTGACTGCAACTAACTCTTAACCTGTGTTTTAGTTGGTCTTCAGGGAAGATTTATGTTAGAGCAACAAAACTAAATATTTCAGTTTTGAACTGTGTTTCTTCTGATACATCTGCTAAGTCTAAAATAGAAATATGTATTTCAAGCAACCAAAAGGACTTTCGTTAGCTTAAAAATGAATGATGTGTTACTGTGAGTGGGCCTCAAGTCCTTACGTATCTTATAAACCTCTGAAATGAAATGCAAATTACGCATGTAAATATTTATGTCAAGGGGATGCTAATTTTGCATTTTCTTGATAGGGGTTCTGTACATGACCTCATTACATTACTGTGAAAGTAAACTCATGTATGTCCAAAATGATTGTTAATATGATCCACATGAGAAGGAAATTATACTTGTTGTCACTTTGGATTAGCCTGGGCAAAAGTTTTTCAGAAAAGATGGAGAAAACAAATGAAAAATATATATTAGCTATAATAAATGAAAACTTAAGAGCTAAAAATTGTAGTGACAGTATAGCATTAGGTCAGATGTCTCAAACTCTTTAATTTATTTGTATACATGTCTTTACACATCATGTACATAAGTGTACTAATGCTATAAATTTCTAGAAATGATCCAAGTCAAAGAAAATCAACATTTAACATTTTCGTATTGCCAAATTGCCTTAATTTCTCCTTTTTTAAAAAAGTACTTTATGCTGGGGGTGTGTGGCTTAAGTACTAGAGCACCTGCCTGGTAAGCGCAAGGCCTGAGTTCAAGCCCCAGGATTCCCCCACCCCTGCAAAAAAAATCTGCTGTATTATGGAAAATTATAAAGAGTATAATGAACTTCATGTATCTGTTACTTAATTTTAATAATGATCAGCTCATGGTCAGTCTTGTTTATTCATTCTATACTTTTACCCATTTCTACCTGAATTATTTTGAAGTAAATCTTATCATTTCATTCATAATTTAGCATGTAACTCTAAAAAGTAGGACTTTCAGACCACAACCACAGTAATATTATACCTAAAAACTTAATAATTCTTTCATACCATTAAATACCCATCACTGTTTAAATTTCAGTTAACTCATAAATGCAATTTTTATTTTTAACAGTGCATTTGTTTAAATTAGTGTCCAAATAAATTCCACATTGCAGTTGGCTAATACATTATTTGTAGCTTTTTAAATCTAAAGTTTCCAGTCCATTTGTTTTTCTTTTTCCCTCATATTTACAATGTATTTCTTAAATCAGATTTTTGGTGGTTTCATTATGCTATCTTCATGCACATATGAGAAAGAGTGTGTGTGTGTGTGTGTGTAATGTACTTCACTCCTCTTCATTCTTCCATAAGCCTCCCATTTAATAAGACTTTTCCTTGCTATTATACCTATGTTTCAGGCTCATCTTATTAATATTCTGCTCCAGACCTGGAGTCAGCCTTTTGTCATAGGAGCCTTGGTCCTTAACACCTGAACATTGCAGGTAGCTAATCCATTGTCTTCTCAATAGACTCCGTTCTAATCAAGAAAAATTCAAGATTTATACTCAGTGCATCCTTAGTACAAACTATTAGTCCCCCAGACAAAGGATTGGATTCCTTTTGAAGTAATCGTAAGTATTCCTTGGAAAAGAGTATACCCACAAACACTCATTTGTCTATTTGGCAATTGCCTCTGCTGAGCAATACAGGTTCCAATATAATTATTGACTTCTCTGCAACTCAAGTAGCTTGGCAAGTGTTTAGGATTGGATGCTGAAATTTCTTTCAGTGCAAGGAAGGACCTCAGACTCCCAAGAGTACATACAGCCAAATAGGAAGTTGCAAAAGTCTGTTGATGTGAATGACTAAATGATAGCTGGAAGCTTAATTATTCATGTGACTTTAATGTCCTTTTACTCCTTATTATCTGCCTCAGTGTTGTGTTAGATTTTCCCATATTTACATATCAGGAACATGTTTGCGTAATTCAGTTAAAATTGAAATTATGATTATGTAGTAGCATATTTGACTCAAACTATGAATCTGGAGAATATCTAGGTACCAGTTATTATAGAAAACACAGATCCCCAAGCTTGCTTCTCTCTATAAATATTTAGCCTTTGCAGTAGTGCTAATGTTGACTTTGCCAAAAAAAAGTTATGAGTATAAAAATATTTTGTGACTGCCTCGAAAGTGTGAGGCCCTGAGTTCAAACTCAGTACACCAGAACATAATATACACACATATGTATACACAGACACACACACACACATATATATACATATATACACACACATATGTGTATAAATAGTGATAGTAAAATGTGACTAATCTATGAGGTCAGAAGTGAGAGATCACTTGTTCATTAGTTCTAAAAATATAGAAACAATGCTGGGCACAAAAGAAGTACAGTAGTCAATAAATACCAATTGAATGAATGATCTATAGTGGTTTTTGTGCCTTATCTCTCTTCCCTCAAAATTAGTGACCTTCAAATTACATTTACTTGTACTTAGTTGACCTGACATCCTAGTTGAGAAGAAACACAACTGTCATTCTGTTACATTAATTGATTCATTTGTTCAACAAGCTCTGTCAGGGCTGTGGTGGCGCAGGGTTGTAGAAATTGTCGTATACGCTAAGGGCATAGAGATGAAAAAGCAGAATAGCACCCTGTTCTCAAGAAGCTGTCAGTCTAGTGGAAGAGACTAAAAGATCAAAAGAAACAGTGCCACCTGTGTACATGCAGATGGGCTCTGTGGCATGCATAGCACTGACTGTTTGGGTTTGTAGCTCAGATCTGTCAGTACCACATTGAGTAAATTACTTAATCTCTCTGTGCTTTAATTTCTTCATCTGTATTACACTGTAGAAACAGGAAGGTACTAATGCCTTATGGAAGTTTTAGGAAATGTCCCAAAGAAACATTTTACTTTTTATAAAAGAAGAAACTGCTGCATTGAAGTCTTATTTTAGTAAAAAGCCTGGTGTTTGTTTTGTTTTGTTTTGAGCTAGTTTGGATTTAAAGACATATTTCTTTGAAACCCCTACACTGAAGTCCAGGCTTTTATTTCATTAGTAGAACCAACTGAGTTTTTTAAGTGGAAACCATTATGAGCTTTGGTTTTAGGAAGATAACTAAAACCAAAGCAGGATCCAGCAGGGATCCCATCATGGGCATCATTGATATTTCAGGCATGATAATTCTTTGTTGTGGGGGGCTGTCCAGTACCTCATATGCCAGCATCCCTGGCCTCTACTGCAGGATGTTAGTAACATTTCTTCTCCCCACTGCAGTTGTAATAACCAAAAATCTTTCCACATATTGTCAATAACCTTTTCGAAAGCAAAATCACCTCTGACACTCTGAGAACTACTGCTGCATAATAACGTAAAATATGGCCTAGGAATAAGACACTTGAGGTTGACGGACTAGTTAATAGGAGACTAGTTCTGGAATCTAGATGAGATCAGGTGGTCTGAACCAATACAGCTGCAGACAGGATTGGCATGGGAACAGATTTAAGAGATGATGCTTGTGAGAATCAGCTAGATTTGGTGACCAGTTAGATCTGGAAAGGAGGGAATCTGAAATGAATCTCAGACTTTCTTACTTAGTTTGCTGCATGTAAAGAGGTACCATTAACCTATAGGAAAACAGAGATAATCATTTCTCAGAGGATGGTTTAAGGATACTAGGCCCATGAGTCTGGAATAAGAAGGAAATTCTTACACACTAGAATCTGAAAACTACTATCAATTTCTAGGCTGATAGACTGACAGAACTTGTAGGACATTTGATGTAGGATGAGGGATAAAGTACATGCTAATGGCAAACAGGACAATCTCGTGTAGAACATGGGTTCCTTAATCCTTAGTTCCTTTCTTTTTTACTGGCAGGACTCTTGTCTTTATGTAAGATCATGCCCTATATAGCCTCCCCTTCTTTTCTGAGTTTCTTGAACTATATTCAAGAATTAAGGAATAAGAGCTTACTTTTTCCTATGTACTCCCAGAAATTATAGGAATGTTTGATTTTCACTAAGATATCAGTTAGATTATCAGTTATCCTGGTTAGCATTGCTGGTTTGTGTATTAGTAGTTCTCTAAATAGCACAAATAAAATATTGCCACTCCCCCACACCCTCATAATATATTGAAACAGGACTATATTTGAACAAATTATGTTTTCATTGACTAATGTTAAGTCTTAACCTATATAGTCATTATTATTTCCTTTTAATACTTATAAAACAATAATGTCCAAAAGATGATTTGGTTGGTATATATCATAATTTGTATAGGTTGTTAAGGAACTAAGATATTCAACTTCCTGACCAAAATGCTGAAAATTCTGTGTAACTACTTGTGTTTCTTAGATACTTCTCTCATTCCTGGTGGAAGTGATAAACACTTAGGAATTCCTCTTTCCATAATGTTGTGATCAGATACCTCTTTAGTTTCCTTACTAGTAACAGGAATTCATTTGAGTATTTTTAATTCTGAAGGTAAAGAACAATCACCTTTGGAGATGAGTATGCATCCTGCAGCAACGACTCCTCTTTCAGTATTTGCTAAGGAATCTACATCCTCCAAACACAGTGACCACCATCACCACTATCACCATGAGCACAAGAAAAAGAAAAAGAAGCACAAGCATAAGCACAAGCACAAGCACAAGCATGACAGCAAAGACAAAGACAAGGAGCCTTTCACCTTTTCCAGCCCTGCCAGTGGCAGGTCTGTCCGTTCTCCTTCTCTTTCAGACTGAGACAGGGACAAAGAGCCCTTTTCCCTGTATCAGAAGAATATATAACTAAAGCTTTTTCCTCTGTGAATAATGTAGGAGGGGGTAAAAGATTGCCTTTCTTATACAATTTGAGAATCCATTTAAGTTCTAGACATTTGATTTACATCATTTATATAATTGAGGACTAGTTGGGAAAATGTGTTCTATGGTTCTGGATAAACTATTTCATCCCTTGTTTCCTCCTCAAAACATATACACAGAGCAAACTCTTTTAACAAGAAAGGCCTCATGTCCACTGGCAGTCCCTGTTCACATCATGGTCTCTATGTGTACTGCCAAAGTCAATTATGTTAGAAAGCCTTGACGGATGTTATGGGACAAAGTTACGTTTTAAACAAAAGCAACTGCCAAATTTGTGGTATAACCGCTGTTTCCACTGAAATACTGTGTAACACCATGTGGAACTACTGAAAAGAAAGAGGCTTCCTCTAGGACCTCTTCCCTCTTGCACTACTTTTGTGTTAACCATAGAAGCTAAACCCCGTAATACATGGGCGAAGAACGCATTTCCTTTTACCCTAGAATACCAACATTTTTGGAAGAAGTTTTTTTTTTTTTTGTTAAGTCTGACAAACTATCTCTTGATAACACATTTGGCAATTATGATGTTGGAATGTAGCAAAACAACCATATCCACAGCTGTTTTCAAATCAAGATGTTTAATTTACAAGTTTTGTTTTGTCTTAAGTATAAGTGAGTATGTTCATATGTAAAATATGTTTTGCTAAATGTGGACAGTTGACACACCCCACACGTATTCTTTCTAAAGTTATTCTGTCTAATACAAAATATGATACCTTAAAAAGGTGAGTTTGTATGTGTTTATTAACAATTTGGTCCTCATGTGAATATATCCGAAGCATTTTAAAAACATAAAACGTTTTGGTTCATAGTTAACAGATTGTATGGTTGTGTGTTTCTATTTTTAATTTCTCAGTTTACTATGTTCCTTATTGTTTGCTTAAGAATGTGTTTTGTATCTGTTCAGTTTTCATTTCCCTTATCATTATAAAAGACTGACAAAATTCTTCTTCCCCTAATAAATACTTCAGAAGGGATCCAATAATGTTAGACTTTTAAATATACTTTTAGTTGTATTTAACTTGTTTAATAAATAACATTTTTTAATTAATCATTCTGCCTTTGTATCTTTGTATCTTTTTGTTACCTTTCTTTGTATGTGTATATAATTTGCCAGGTCACATAGTTTGCAGGGAGCTTTGTAAATGGGTAGCATTTGAGCTGGCCCCAGTAGCAAGGATGGTTACATTAGGCCAACATGGGGTAAATGAAGGTCTCTCAGCAGAAGATACAGCAATCATTGCAAGTATGAAGGGAATGGGATCAGGTGTCAAAGGGCCTAAATGACAGTTCTTTAACTATATATATATATATATAAAACTATATATAGTTACACTATATCTAGAATTGCCCACTTTGAGAATACTGAAGACACATTTTCAAAATAATTATTTCTATTGTAAGAAGAAAATGACATAACAGCCCTCTATCATAAAGGTCCTTCTTGTATATTAAGCACTGTACTAGGACCTGTACTTACATATGTTATTTCTAGGTCAGATGGTCATTCTAACGTGACCATCTTATGAGGAACATATTTTATGATGACCTCCAGATAGCTGATGGTTCACAGCAGACAACACAAAAATTATTTTATTCATATTCTTGAAAGTAAGTGATCGCATGCAAACAATACAGATTTCTACTGTAAGTCACTCAGTCTACTTCCCCAGAGGCAGCCATTGCTGACAGTATTGTGTGCCTTTCCAGAGCTAGTTTATGCACATTTATAGGCATATATATTTGTATAGCATATTTTTTTAAACAAATGGCAGCATATAATATATACTTGGAGACGTTTTTTATTTTTGTATTAGTAGTGTTTCCCACACTGTTTCATAATAATAAAAGTCTTCCTTTTTATTTATGTATTTATTTTTTTGGTGGTACTGGGGCTTGAACTCAGGGCCTCATCCTTTCTAGGCAGATGCTCTACCACTTGAACCACTCCACCAGCCCACAGAAGTCTTCCTTTTTCTATAATTTTAAAGCTATTGCTTCAGTCTTATGTCCTTCATCCAACTAGAATCCACCTAGATTATTTTAATGAATGGTAGGTAGGTATCCAACTTTTCTTCTTTCCATGTATTTATCTCTCAATTTCATATTATATACTAAATCCCTTTATAAACTTGGGTCCGTTTTTAAACTTTAGCTGGTTTCATAAATCTATGTACTCATCTGCCAATACTGTACTGTTTAGATTTTAATAGCACTGTGATATGCTTTGATATGATAGAATTAATCTCCTTTTTCATTAGTTTCATATCCTCTTGTGGGTTATTTCTTTTTCTCTTTAATGTATCTTTATATATGTGAAATTCACTCCTTGTGGCATACATTTCTATGAGTTTTAATAAATGCACCACCCTCAAATCTTCCTCATGCTGCCTTTTGTAGTCAGCCCCCCTTCATCCACCCGTGGTACCACTGATCAGTTTTCCATCTTTTTCTCCTTGCTTCTTTTTTTTTCATTTTTTGGGGTTTTTTGGCAGTATTGGGGCCTCATGCTTGCTAGGCAGGTGCCACACCCCCAACCCAATTGGTCCATTTTTCTTTTTTTGTTATAAAATTCTTTATTCCTTTATGCTAATGTTGTGCTTAACTACCTTACTGAATTGTTACTATTTGCAACATTTTAATTACATTTCTTGAACTGTCCATGAAAGTAATCATCCTGTAAATGGCAGTAATTTTATTACCCCTTTTCTAATTTTTGTAATTTAATTTTCTCATTTCTTCCTTGGTGTGACTGCTTTCTCTTGCTAAGTTTGCCTGAGAGCCGTGGGGATGGGCTCTCACCCCGCACACCGGTGTCCACTTTTCCTGTACTTGGCTGCCCTTTCTCACATGTTGTGGATAAGGGTTTCGTATTTCTTCACGTTTCTTAGAAGATGAAATTTATGTTTCATGTCCTAATTCCTTTTGGATGATTCTTAAAGATAGAGTGGAGAAGCTACTTATTTACTACCAAAGTCTTACAAACTCCTTTAAAGGTAATTTTGATCAAAATACTTTTACATTAAAATCCTTGCCTAGGAAACTAGAGAGCTACTTGGTGTTCTCATCTTCTTCCACTCATTTTTTCTGTTTTCAACTTTTTATTACAAATCAATGAAATTCCTTCAGATCAAATACACACCAGCCGAACTGTCTTTCAAAGTTCTCAACTCCTGGCACCCTCCCCTTTGAATGCAGGCTAGTGATTTGCTTCCAAAAAATAAAGTATGGAAAAGAAAAAAAAAGCAGCTTTGATGCTAAGAAAGCTGACAGACACTACCTCAACCAAATGACCATGGTGAGGCCTGTTAATATCATGCCTCATTAATGTGATATGAAAGGGGCACTTCATTTTTCTTGAGTGAAAATTTAATCTCGGTTTACACAGTCTCATCATGAGAAAAACAGTAGCCAAACCGAATAAGCAGAGGGCACTACAAAACAGTTGACCATTAATCCTCCAAACTATTATCATCATGAGAAGGGAAAAAAAGACTCGGAAACTGTCACAGACCAAAAGAGTGACACAACAACAATGCAGTGTGATATTCAGGGTTGGATTCAGGGGAACAATGACTATAGTGAAAAAACTACATTCTGAAGTTTTATTAATGTACCAATGTTGGTAGAGGACATATGTTTCTGTCCTCAAGAAATTCATATGCTGAAAACCTTACCCAAGGTGTTGTTTTAGGGATATGGGAACTGTGGAGGTGAACAGTTCATGAGGGTGGAGACCTCATGAGTGAGAGTAGAGGCACCAACCAACTCACTTGTTCTGTCATGTTTGGACCCAAGAAGAAGATACCATCCGTTCGCCAAGAGGCAGGCAGGCCCTTGCCAGACAACCTGGCACCTTAACCTTGGACTTCCAAGTCTAGAATATAAACTGTTATTTAAAGTCCTCCCAGTTTATTATATTTTGTTACTGCAACCAGCAAGGAGTAAGATGGCTGGTTTCTTAGATTTGACAAATGTACTGTGGCAATGCAAATTGGTAACAATAGGGGAACATGGATGAAGGCTATTTGGCAATGAAGGAAAAGTTGCTTATAGAATTGTAATCTGTCTAAACTATGAGTATATTTTGCTCACTTCTGTAATCTAAATTATTTACTTTTTTAACTTCTGGGTCATTACAGTCTAACCTCCCATCCCCTTGATGTTACTTCAGTTTCTGATGCTAAATTACTTCTTAAAGAGGTAAAATTCATATTTCTTACCCCAGAATTTAGAAGAAAATTTATACACTGAGCAGATGCACATTCATGTGACTGAAAGAGGTCAAAGGTAGCAGTGATAATGACCCAAAGCTTAAAAACTGAATGAATTTCTTGTAATGAAAAATGAAATGGCTGAGTAGTCTTTTAAAAATTTATTGTAAATTGAGCATGTATAATTGTACATATTCATGGAGTATAAAATGATGTGACTTACAAGTACAATGTGGAATAATCAGTCTAATATATCCATTCCCTCAAATATGTATTTTTGTGGTGAGAACATTTGAACTTTACTCCCACTATTTTTGAAATGCATAGCAGTCCTTAACTACTGACCATATTATGCAGTAAATTTTTTTAAATAAAGTTTTATTCCTTTTATCTGCCTGAAATTTTGTACCCTTTGACCATCATCTCTTCATTCCCTCCCATCCTCAAGCCTTTGTAACCACGGTTCTACAACTCTGCTTCAGAGTTCAGTTGATTTAGAATCCTTATGTAAGTGGGAATGTGTGTATTCCCACTTAGCTTATTTCACTTAGCTTAATGTTCTCTAATTCCATCCATGTTGTCACAAATGACAGAATTTCCTTCTTTTATAAAGCTGAATAGTATTCCTTTGTGAATATAAGATGACATTTTCTTTATTCGTCTGTTGATAAACACTTGGGTTGATTCCATAACTTGGGCATTCTTAAGAGTACTGCAATGAAAATGGAAATGCAGATATCTCTTCAATAAATAGATTTCAGATCTTTGGATAAGTATTCAAAAGCGGGATTGTTGAATTCAAACCTAGTTTGAGGTTTTTGAAGAACCTCCAGATGATATTCCATAATCTACTGATTTACATTTCCACCAACATTGCACAAGAACTCTTTTTTCACATCATTGCAGCACTGTTACCTTTTGTCCTCGGATAATCATCCTAACCAGTAGGAGATGGTATTTCATTCTGGTTTTGATTTGCATTTCCCTAATGATTAGTAATGTTGAGTATTTTTCCATCTATCTTTTGGATATTTCTATATCTTCTTTTGAGAAATGTAGACTCAGGTCTCTTGCCTGCTTTTCAATTGGATTTTTTGTTTTCTTGCTGTTGAGTTATTTGCATTCCTATATATTTTGGATGTTATCCCCTTAAGGGATATCCGGCTTGCAAATATTTTCTCCCAATCCATAAGTTGTCTCTTCACACTATTAATCATTTCCTTTGCCGTGAAGAAGCTTTATAGTTTGATGCAATCCATTTGTCTGTTTTTGCTTTTGTTGCCTGTACTTTTGGGGTCAAATTTCAAAAGTGTCACTTCCAAGATCAATGTTATGAGTTTTTCACTATGTTTTTTTCTACTAGCTTCACAGTTTTTGGTCTCATGTTTAAGTCTTAATCCATTTTGACTGTAGTTAATTTTATATGTGGTAGGAGCATGATACTGTTTCATTCTCCTGTACATAAATTGCTCCCTTGATTTCTTCTTTTTTTTCCTTTTATTTGTGGTGGTACTGCAGTTTGAACTCAGGGCCTTG